TAGTTTTGTTTTATTAGGATGTTGCGGGGTCTGTCCCCACATCCATCTCAGTATATTAGAGGCTTCAATAGACAGACAATCAGACAGATAGTTTTGAGTCTCTTATCTATGTATATATGTAAATATTCTATTTTGAGACGCGAGTTGCCTTTTGGCATGTTATGCATCAGTTAAGTTGTTTTATAACCTTGCATGGTATTGAGTTATTCTGTTGAGTTAGGTTTCCGCTAAGTTAAGAAAGCCAGGCCAAGGGTTCACTTGGGGCCAGCAATGGTCTCCGGGTGTCGGTCCCGCCCAGGGTGTAGGCTCGGGGTGTGACAGTTTTGTTGGCTTTGGTAGCACAGTTGAATTTGGAACTAGTTCAGTTGGATGTAAACACGACATTTTTACATGGAGGCTTGGAAGAGGAAATCTACATGACTCAGCCAGAAGGATTCAAAGTTGATGGAAAAGAAAATATGGTGTGCAAACTTGAAAAATCGTTGTATGGATTGAAACAATCTTCTAAACAATGGTACAAACGATTTCACAAGTTTATGTTGCAGCAAAAGTACATAAGAAGCAAATACGATCATTGTATGTATTTACGCAAGCTTGAAGACGATTCCTTTATATAACTTCTCATACATGTTGATGCTATGTTGATAGCTTCTAAAAGTCAAGAGGAAATTGAGAAGCTAAAGATTCAACTAAGAAAGGAGTTTGAGATGAAGGATTTAGGTGAGACAAAGAAGATTCTTGGCATGGAGATAAAAAGAGATCAACATTCAAATAAACTAGTTTTATCTCAGAAAGAATACTTGAAGAGGGTACTAAACCGATTCGGTATGAATGAGAAAATGAAGCTAGTTAGCACACTACTTGCTCTTCATTTTAAGCTTAGTGATGCTATGTCACCAAAGAATGAAAGAACGAGAATATATATCGAGAGTACCATACGTAAATGATGTTGGTAGCTTGATGTATGCAATGGTTTACACAAGGCAAGATATTTCACACGTTCTTGGAGTTGTAAGCAGGTACATGCATAATCCTGGAAAGGATCATTGGCAGGCTGTAAAATGGATTCTACGGTATATTCATAATACTGTAGATGTTGGCTTGATTTTCGAGCAGAAAAATAGTCAATATTTTGTTGGATATTGTGACTC